CTGACCAACCTTCATCTTAATACACAATTGTAGAGCCTTTTTCTCTGGCGAACTGATGTGCTTTAAAGCAAAGGCTGATTTCAAAAATACATTGCTGTGGTTGACAAGATATGTACCGCAGTCGTTTAAATTGTTTGGTACCGTTCTGTTATGGGGACTGGAGACGTCGCCAAATGTTTTAAACTGGCCAAGCGATTGGTTTATATGATTGGTTCATATTGGCCACTATTTACTTTTACAAGACATTAAAATGCTTAATATTTTTAAAAAGTAAAGAATGCATTTTTTTTTAATTGGCAACGAAAATACAAATTCTAAAAATGTAACGATCATCTGTGTTTTTTTACTTCCTTGTACGAAGTAAAAAGGAAGTACTGTAATCGCGAAAAACTTCAGCATCATATTTCCACAAAAATATATATTTTGACCGCTATCGAATGCAATTTAACGATAGTTTTGCGTGATATCCATACGTAAGGACCGAAAAAGGACTCTTTCCTCCAAAAAAATTATAAAATTGATTTAAAATAAATTCTGAAGAGAAATTTTCGTGGCTTCTGTGCTTATGTACATATCTCGCATAACTCAAAAACGAGTAGCCTCAGAACATTCAAATTTTGTATATAGGATTGCTATAGCATGCAGATGTGCACCTCGTATTTGGGTTGCAATCGGCCGCTCCAAAAGTATATAAATATATGTATATATATAAATGTTGTATGATGTTAAATTCACTTAGTGCGAAATCGAGTTATTCTACTACTTGAGCAATTGTTACAAAGTAAGTTAATAATAATTTATTTACTAAAGAAAATATTGATTATGTTTATATATCTTCACTCTGCTACTCAGCTCAATAATCTCAGTTTCTTTATTCTTATATGTTTGTAACTGGGAACGTTTTGCTTAAAAAATTATTGAATTATGTTGTTCTTATCTTCCGGTTAAGGGTTTTATGCCTTTAGTAAATCTGCATGCGATAATTTAGAATTATTAACAATTTAAATGTTGTTTAAGTGCCGTTAAACCTTTTTGCAATGGCGGCAATGTTTGTTTACATTTGAAACAGCAGAATAGTAGATTTGTTGCCCTTCTAGAGAAAGTAAGCTTCGCAAAAACAAAGATAACGCCTTTTATTAATGTGAATTAAAACATGCTTAATGCACTCTGGAATTTATTCGAGGAAATAAGTGTAAGATTTAGTTCATAATTTTCAATACAGATATTTTGAGTTTTCATGTATTTTTGCTTTATCGCGAAGTAAAAACTGAATTAATTGAATGAGAAATACTGAATCGTCTGTGAAAACCATTTTTTTTCTTTTTCTTCTTGTTGTTTGCTTAATTTATTTTATACATTGTTTTTGATTTATTATAGTATTTGAATAGAATATATGGCAACGATTAGATAATTCTTAAGATGATATAAATTTTGTGCATTCTGAGTTAAAAAATTAATGGAAATTTAACGCATTTTGGAATTTATGGATGGAAATTTAACGCATGCTAAGCGAACCTAAGGCCAGAATTTTGCTGTGGTAAACAAATATAGTGAATTTTAAAGAGTGCATTTATTCTGTTGTGGTTTATACGCTATCGACGAAGTAGATTTAATTCAATGCAACAAGTTTAAATGAAATGCAAGAAAAAATGCATATGATTAAATATTCCGTACAAGGAAGTCATGTGGTGTACACATCAGATTTTTTATTGCTGCATTTACCATGACTGTAAGAATTTAGGACATAACTAAACATGAAACACCATGCACATAATTTCTTCTGGAATGGGGAATTCACTATAAAGGAAAGTGCTTGAAAAAGCATAAAATGAAGGTTTACTTCAAATCAAAAAAAGCACCGAAATGAAGATATGAAATGCAGAGGGAAAAAGGATTACATAAAATTGGTTTGACGGATCGGGAATTAGTTTCTTACTGGCAATTTGTTTCATTTATGCATGGAATTTAGACTTAACTTCCATCAAATTTTATTAGTATTAATTTGATACGAATTATTGCATTGTTGTTGATTGAAACATATGAGGGAAGTCTGAGACCCTGCATAAATGAGACCATCAGTTAAAATAGCCGGCACTGGTAAGATTGTTGAAACTGAAGAAAAAACGGCGTTGGCTGTATTCTTCCGCCCTAGCGGGTGTGCAGCGGCACTTACCGAGAAACAAAAGAATGTTTTTCAGTTGTTGTGTCTAATCGCTGTGCCAGAACTTTGCTTGTGATTATTAAAGAAAATATTATTGATGGCACTATAATATACCCAAGCTGTTGAAAATTGAGAAATAATAGAAAAACAGAGTAATAAACTATTGTTGAGGCCGGATTTAAATATTTTTGCGCTAAGCATAAATAAAATTTTATCGATTCCGAGAAAAATTTAATTCACTAATTAATCGTAATTCCCTAATTTCCTTTTTACTTCCTTGTACGAAGTAAAAAGGAAGTATTGTAATCGCGAAAAGTTCCAGGCAGCATAATTCAACGAAAATATCCATTTTGACAGCTATCGAATGCAATTTAACGATGTTTTTGCGTGATATCTGTACGTAAGGACAGAATAAAAGACCCTTTTCCTTCAAAAAAATTATAAAACTGCTTTAAAATTAATTCTGAAGAGAATTTTTTGTGGCGTCTGTACAAACGTATGTACTTACGTGCGTACCTACGTACGTATCTCGCATAACTAAAAAACGAGTAGCCTCAGAACGTTGAAATTTTGTATATAGCACTGCTATAACATGTAGATGTGCACCTCGTATTTTGGTTACAATCGGCCGCACCAAACGTATATAAATATATTTATATATATATATCCACTCTGTTACCCGGCTCAGTAATCTCAGTCTCTTTACTCTTATATGTTTGTAAATTGTACATTTTGTGCTTTAAAAATCATTGTATTATGTTGTTTTTATCTTCCAGTTAAGGTTTTTATACCTTTAGTAAATCTATATGCAATATTTTTAGAATTATGAACAATTTTAAAGTTGTTTAAGTGCCACTAAGCCTAATACTTCTCTTGATGGCGGCCATTGATGTTTACATTTGAAACAGGAGACTAGTGGATTTGTTGCCAATCTAGAGAAACTTAGCTTCGCAACAAAGAAGATAAACGCATTCATTTATTATTGCCAATTAAATCATGCTTAATTCTTTCTGGAATTTTTTCGAGGAAATAAGTGTTAAGATTTACTTCGTAATTTTATATAGATATTTTGAGTTTTTATGTATTTTTGCCTTCTCGCGAAGTGAGAACTGAATTAATTAAATGAGAAATACTCAATCGTCTGTAAAAAAAACTGCTTTTTGTTTTGTTTGCTTAATTTCTTTTATACATCGTTCTAGCTTTGTTATAGTATTTTAATAGAACATGTGGCAACGATTAGATAATTCTATTCTTTAAATGATATAAATTTTGTGCATTATGAGTTATAATATGAACGAAATATATAAGTTAACTGTTATATAATTATTGGATTATATAACAGTTAACTTAGTTTCCGTTATATAATTATTATATAAGTTAACTGTTATTAATACTGTTAAGTGAATCTAGCGCCAGAGTGTCGCTATGGTAAACAAATACTAGAATGAATTTTAAAAAATGCATTTATTCTATTGTGTTTTATGCGCTGTCGGCGAAGTAGATTTAATTCAATCCAATAAGTTTAAATGAAATGCAAGAAAAAATGCGTATAATTTAATATTCCGTACAAGGAAGTCATTTGGTGTACACATCAGATTTTTTTTCTATAAACTGTTTAATTTACATAAAAGAATTCTTTTTACGAACAACTTAACCGTGTCGAAAGTATTTTGGCTATTATTTTGTGCTTAAAAAACATTAAGAATTCATAAGAAAGGAAAATATCCGTGAATAAGTTCTAGTTTTGTTAACCATCTTCAAATGAGTAAATGCAGTTATTTCGGACGGTGAAATGACTGCTAGGTACTGTCTAACTAAGCATACCACACTCTGGTTGGCATTAATCCAAGGATGTAAATCATGAGTTAGACAAATGCTCGTTTGAGAATCTACAAGACTACCTTCAACATCTCTTAAATATTCCAAAGTTCTGTTGTCGGAATGACTTATAACTCGCGCAACTAAACTGATTAGAATACTGAAATTTCACTGATTATTCGGAAATAAAATTTAGCTAAAGTATTTATTGCTAAACCTTCTAGACTTAAACTAGAAATTAATAAAACTACCCATCGCTACTTCTTGAAAACAATCCAAATCATTAATTCAACAGTTTCCAAACTTTAATGCTCTATTCATCCCTTTTCATCACTTACCAGAATATCATTCGGCGTCCTCCTATTTTTTGATTTTCATTTTATTTAAATGCTGCCGATTTATTCTTCAAACTAAAACTGGAATTTTTGATTTCAGAGTATTATAAAATTACATATAAATTGAAGGTTTACTATGTTTAATAAGTATGTATATGTTTACCAATATATACGTTTTTATTATATTTAAAAACATAATTAAAGAAAATTTTCTAATGACTTTGTTTTACTTGCATGGTACCTAAAATAAAAATTTTAGGCCTTTTTTATCACGCCATACAAACTTTGATATGAGGTCCTTATCAGAGTCTACTAAATTGATGCAGAACAATTCTGCTATGACAACATGAATTCTCCGTTCCAGTTAGGGAATTTTCCATCAATTGAGAATCTCTAATTAAATAGCAACGCATAAAAATGAATATCCTAGCAATTTTTAGATCGCATTAGAAGCATAGCTCAGAATGTATAATAAGAGATCTTAATGATTACTAGATAAAAAGTTACTAAATACAGCTAGTTCAAGACAACTAAATAATCAAATTATCCAAAAAGCCAAAAATTGAATTTGATATATATTTATTAGTATAACGTTTTTTATTAAACTTATTTGATTCCTTCTTCCTGAATTAGAAATTTAGGTTCATTTCAAATAAAATTCACCATTTTTTATGATTTATTTTTAAAATTTGTATTTTTAAATAATTTTTATACCTTTTTTACAAAAAATGTGGAATCATAATATATAAAATTTTTACCTTCATCTATCTTACAGTAGATGTATTACCAAGAACACCTGCAAAAAATTTAGAGTTTTTTAATTCAAAAGTTCTTAAGATATACATGAATTTGCATTTTCGTGCATTTTGAAATTGGCATATTTGTTGAAAGTGATAATAACATCAAATGTGATTTATGCACTTTGTTAAATTATTTGAAAATAGTAACGATATGACTTTTTCCTCTCATTCAGAATGTAAAAAGGGAAAGGAAAATCGGTTGTCATATAGTATTAAGAAGTTCGCCAAGTGAATTATTCTTGGCGCAAACTGAAAAAAAAAAGGCGCCAAAATTAATGATTAAATTTTTCTATAAATTTCGCATCGAATTTTACAAAATTTAATATTTCGGCATTATTTGAGCCGTATAATCGAAATATGGAAAACAACTGGCATGTCTTTTCAGACAATTTTTTTTAATTTTTTTATTTTTGTGTCAAAATATCAATTTATTTATCAACCGATTTTGTGTCAAAATACCATTATTAGTAAAGTGCCATATATAAATTTAATATATATCCCAAATCACGCTTTCGACACATGTAAAATGCAATTTGAATTTCGTCATCGGCCCAGTAGAACGGGAGATATAGAACTGTCTTTAAATATTTTATAATGTATATCTAAGATAAAAAATATGAATAAAAATTATAATTTAATCTAACGGTAGCTCTTTAATTCTTCCTCTCTGTTGTAAAAATCTTAATAACTTCTCTGAATTGCGTTATTTCTAAACTTTCCTTTTTGCAGGGTCTGCGCAATGCTGATGACGTAATAATTGTATATTGGAACTTTTAACTCTAACCAAAGCCTTTCTCTTCCCGTGCCACCATCTTGCATAACTACGCACTTAAGCTTCGCTCTCTGCCCTGCTAGGATGTAATTTCGTTGTCTTGCTTGCTATCACTAAAATATCAAAAATGTAAATGTTTTTGAACAGTGCCAAGTGATTGTGGCCCCAAACGTCAACTGGAAAATAAAAATAGAATTAAAACTACCTCGATTGCCAAGTTCTCTTAGATATTACCAAATCAACCTATTAGCATACGACGCAATCAGAATTCTTTAATGTGGATCCAAGTACGCATCAACACTGCTCCGTCTTTTCCTTGCTTTGATTATATTATATAATTATTATAGTGTTCAAAAAAATAAATATTATGACTTAAAAAAGTAAGAACAGTTACTATAAAGGAACAAATGAACTTGAAAATTTGTTTACCTTTAGTGTCATCCATATTCTTTTATTTGGATTTTATAAAATTCGGCCTGTTTCTTCTCCACTTCTCAGGTTTGAAAGTATTTCTCTGAGACGTTTTGCAATTGTAGACGAATCTGCAGAATACAGAAACTTGATAAAGAACATAAATTTATCTTACATAGTTTACAATTTCTTGCTTACAGTTTGCTGAAAGTACAGTGGATGAAATGTTATATGTTATTATGAAATTAAAGTAAATTTTATAAGGAGTAATTAAAAAAGGTAATCTACTGAACAAAAGTGACGTTAATGTGAGATACCAGAAGGAACAAAGGCAAATAAAAACATAAAGTGTTCTATGATCTTTTGACGCCATCTTATTTAGCACCTCCCCCCAAAAAAGAATTGCTCGTCTATTGTCAGCAGCTTAATGTTGAAAATATTACTTTTTATGTTTCTTACCTAAGTATGATAGAAACAATCTGCTGGCCTTTAAATCGTTCTCGAGTTCATGACCCACGAGGGTGCTGTCCTTGTTCAGTAATTTTAACAGGAAGGTTTGCACATCATTTAATATAGCTGACATACCTTTCAGGTCATTAGCTGTTATTCCACTATATACAGTGTTGTAATCCCATATCTGCTGTTTTGGTGGGAAAAATGATTGATACACTGTTAAAGCCATCAATGCCCAATATTCCTATTTTAGGAACTTCCAACTTCCAAGCTTCCCATAGTATAGCACTATTCACACTCCAGGCCATACACTCTGAGATTATTTTCTGTTTAGATGTCGCTTTTCGCGTGGTGTAACATACTCCACATTCTTGGGAGATGATTCCACTGAAACATGAAAATGTCATGTTGCACCTGAGATATACAATTGCCATTGCAGCATTGGTAAGTCCCAGCTTCAAGAACACGATTGGAAGATGTTAACTTCTTAGTTTGAGAATGTCATGGTATGTCAATATTATGGTGCTTCCTACTCATTAGTTCCATAATCCAGTATGAAGAAAAGGACTCCATAAGGCATCAATGCTCTGTTGGGTCTCTTGCTGTACTTTTGCGGTAAATCGTAGTTCAGATTATGGGAATGAAGAGGAAATCTATGTTTCTCCAGCTATTCATTACTGTGAACGTATGGCAGGAACTCAGAATATAGGTTAGAAGCGGTACCTTTAAACTTGACTCCTAGGAACTCCTTGTTTTTTTTTTTTTTTTTTTTTTTTTTTTTTTTTGTTTCTTGAAGCTCAACTCTTTTTTAATGTAGTACATAATATTATTTATAAAAATCCTTTTTGTTAAAAAGCTGTGAGATGGTAGAGAAGAAATATTATCTTTAATTATAATATCCAAGCGAACAATAAATAGTCGTAAACTTTGTTTATCCTCCTTATTTACAGAGAAGTTAAAATTTATTTTGCTCAGGGTAGTAATGTTTTATCAATATAAGAGGTAGATTTATACATTATTCGTCCTACAACTACCAGAAAAAGAATTTTTAAGCTTTAGTTAACATTCTAAATTAATGCTTTCTTGTCTGACGTATTTTATTTATCTAATTTATTTCGTTATTTGACCTATTTTACTTATTTTAAAGATTACTGTATCTCTAAATTTTAAGCTACGGTATTAAAGTTAAACGACATTAAAATTACAAATTTATGTATAACAATGAAAATGGTAACTGGATTTATCATATTGTTTATAGTTATGCAGCGCACACTAGCCTAATTTTAGAAAAAAATATTCCTTTCCCACTTTCATTCTATGGAGATTTTTAAACAAATTCCTTTTGAATGTCATAGGAGATTTAAAATGTTATAACAGTCAGTAAAGTCTGCAGGAAAAAATGAGTGGATATTCTTCCAGGCTTTGAAATCGGCTGGCATGGCAATTTCTGAATAAATTCTTTACTCTTTTTCTAAATTCGAGTTAACTTTGCTTCTACTCTAAAATAATGTTCCACTTATTCGGCACACGCTAAAAAAATACGCGATTTCTCCATTTTATAACTGAGTTATTATTTTAATTTTTGTTCGCATTTTCAAATAGAAGCAAAAGGAAATGAAGAGAAAATAGACCTAGTCTTTGCGCTGCTCTTTCAACTTATTTGATAAATTTCAAAAATAGCGACAGTGCGATAAAATGCAGCATGAAATAGCACGGTGTTATTGCATTTCTTGCATTTTTCATGAAATATTAAAATCTAGATTACGAAAGATTTTGAGGATAGTAATCCAACCCATTTCAGACTTTATACGATGGAATCATATAGCTTCGCAAATGTTATTTCAAATTTAAAGAGTCCAGTGAGAAAGCTATAATTAAAAATGTCATTCATTTCGCAAAACAAATTTACTTCTATGTTTAAATATGCATATCAAATGTAAGGAATATTATTTAAAATGCACCTTTCATTTCGTGCGTTTAAGTTTCATGAACGTTATATTTACAGACACTTTTAAACAGTTTTACCTAGACGTGTTTTGCTTATTTCTTTATGAGAAATAATAGTTAGAAAATAAAAATGCTCACAGCAGACACTTATAATGCAGTTTCCAAAAGAATATAAATGTATTTTCAGAAAAATGTAAAGTTTTCAGATTAAAAGAAAACAAACTAGTAGCAAAATCTGTAACATTCCTGTTTCTTTCCAAGCGTTAAGTTGGTATTAAAATCAGGTTTTAACAACACATAGAATAAGCTGTGAGCCTTAGAATTCTGTATCTTAGTTTCAATTTTTATCCTCAATCCTGAATTTGTGTTGGAAAAAGTAGACGTTTTTATTTCATTCTCAATAAGAAGCTACCTTCTTGTACTCAAGTTTACTTCTGCTAGAGTTACTCACAACATTGTATTAACAACAAAATTTCGGATTCTGGAATTAACTGTTGCTGCTGGGAATATACTTTTTAAATTGTTTTTTCGATATACTTTTAAATTGATACATTGCTTGTTGCCTCTAGCACTCTATAGTCTAATAGCCATTTTACCATCAAAAGCTTATCGAACTGAAAAGTATTAGAGGTCACAAACAGCCTAGATATGTGTTCTCATTAAAGTAGTGCACAGAGTAGATTTCAATAATTAAAACTTATTCTACGAAACAAATTGTTGCCTTTTAGTGTAGGTTGTGAATAGTTAGCTGATCAAAAGCGAGTTAAAGGACGATTGATTGGACATGGCAATTTTAAGAGATATTTAAAACGATTTGGACTTTTAAGTACTTTGTGCAGCTGCTGTAGCGGTGATGAAGGTGTTAATCATATTCTTCTTCAGTGCGGACATCATGTCCAGCACTAGAAGACACTTCAGGCCACTTTGAAGTGCCTGTATGTATCTTGGCCACCAATTTGTTTCTGAATTTTTACGGATTAAAGACACTATTTCTGCTTTTTGGTATTTCATTCTCAATGTAGGTTACCGAATTCTCTTATTTTATTGCTTTCTTAGGACAAAGGGCGTTAGATCAGAAGAGCTATTAATTTCGTTTTGCCCTTTATTGTATTAAAAGTAAATAATGAAGAATCTGCATTAAATGTATGTATGTTTCTTGTATTGTGATAAAACGACGATACCCCTAAAGCCATCAAATTTTGAATAACTTAATCCGCATCTGGAAACCCACATTTGGAATTTGTTGTATTTTCGATTTCATATTTTGTCAGACATTAAAGAATTTTTGATTAATTAACGATTTCAAAACGAGGAATGGAAACAGTGTGCGAAAACATAATTATCTCAGCACGAGAGACCGTGTATCGGAAATTCTAAAGATATGCTCATTTAAAAATTATTTTGCGATATTGCTGTTGAATTGAATTTTATGGTTTAAGCGCGAAGAACATGATATTTAATAAGTAAAGGTAACACACAAAACGTTAAACAAACGCCCCCTTTGGGCATAATATAAAATCTGGAAGCTTTCGAATTTTTACTTTTTTTCCCTTATAATTAATATTTTTATACCAACGGGGCATTATCCCAGAAACGCTATTAGTTTCGAAACGGCATTTTGTGTCGCATATTAAAAGCGTTGAATCACTTTTCAAATTGTTGCCACTAAATATTATCTCTCAGTATTATATTTAAAGAAATTAGCTAATAAAGAATCTGTATTAATATATGTATGTTTCTTGCACTATAAAAACAACGGCATCTAAAACCATCAAACTTTGAATAACATAGTCTTCACCCGAATGTAGCCACGTGGAAGCTCGAAGTTTGAATTTGTTTTATTATCTATTTTATATTTTGTAAAACGTTAGGGAAGTTTTGATTGAAAAAATTTAAATATTTCAAATTGAGCAGTGGCAAGACTGTGCGGAATATAACATTTTATCTCCAGCTCGTGAGACTGTTTTCGGAAATTCTAAATATATGCTGTTTTTAAATATTTATTAGCCGAAAGGCGGGTTAGCCCAAATGCTTTCGAAATGTGTATGTGTATGTAGACGAAAACAAAACGCCCCTTTAGACGTAATAAAAAATCTGAAAGCTTTCATATTTTTAAAAACAATTTTCTCCCTTTGCCGAGCTATTGTACATTTGTTTATTTATTTTGTTGGTGCTATAACTTATTTGTGTGAGCACTACATGTATGTTTTGTAGAATATGAAGAGTTGAAATTAGAACTAACTAAAATAAAATAAATAATAATAATACTTATAAATAAATAAATGAAATAAAAAATGATTACTAGCAAGAAGATTTCTATTTTTATTCGAGCTCCCACTAAGCATGATCTGGGGAATACAAAGAAGTTGTTCAAGAATTTCTGCTTAAATATGATTGTAAATTTGCAAGTATTTCATTAATACACAAAAGAGCGAGTTTAAAAGTCTACTTAATTCAAAGTATCACGGCATCGGATTTTAAGTCTTAGACCCAATAAAGACTACCGATTTAGAAGTTATATTTAGTCATATCATTCAATTCAATGAAAACAAAATGGTATGATCAACACTTTTTAACACATAAAGTAGCCTGCTTCTAAATAGCTAACTGGTTAGGGATAAAGTTTCCGAAAAAAAAAAAGATTGTACATAAAATTGCTTAGACTAGCTAAAAACTAACATCTTGCATCAGGCAGAAACAAGAAGGTTAAAGAGAAATAAAATTCGGGATT